CGTAAACTGAATCCCTATGCGATAATGCACATCAATAGATATATGCCTCGTTCAACTGTAAATAGTTTTATTTTTATTAGAGGTTTGGAGACCCTCCTTGCCCAGATGATTGAAATTTACTGGATTACTACCCCGATGTGGAAAAGTGTGCCAGGTTTGTGGCGCAGACAAAATTCTTTAGAGCTTGTTTATGTTAGGGTTAACGTATATATTAACGTTAAGGTTAAGCATTAGCGAAATATATAGCAAAATTGCTCTAGAAATAAGCAATTTTTGACAAAACCAAAGTTTATTTTCGTGTACACATTCAAAGACTGTATTATTCAAAACATTGAAAGTCAGAGGACTTAAATAGAGAACCCACAGGCGGGTTTTAGGTATGGTAATTAGCAGGTAACCTGCGGGCGGAACCTTTAAATAGACAATGACTAAAGTTGTTCGTGTGGCTAATTGTGGTCTCGCTGATATGCAAAATGTAATACCTCTACGTAAAAGTAGGATAATAACCTAATAAAAATGGGACATAGAGCTTCCTCTTTAAACCAAAAAAAAAAAAGATGTATTTTTCGTTTAATATGACGTCATTATGTGGTTTTTAGAATTGAATAACTTTCTTTACATAACTTTTGTTATACTAAGAGAATTATAAAACAAATCTTCGCTTTTAATAATACAATCTAGCAATCACTCAGTTCAAAGAATTATGTGAAATATTCTCTGACCGACATGGTATGCCAAATTTTTTTGCCGTTGCTGCTATCTGGGAGACTTGACTACTCGACACTGATTTTAGCACAGGCCACAAACATAAAGCGGGATATTATCCTTAAGGAATGTTAGGCATACAACGTTATTTATTACTATCGAAGTCGAAAAGGGGAGAGTTTCACTTTATTAATCCAGATGTCATGTTATACAATTTAACCGGCAAGGGTCTCAGACCTAATTCCTGGGTTTAAAACCCCGATCCAGGGTCTCGAACCTGTACATATCAAAATGGCATTTACGAAATCTGTGCTTAGTTATGCATGATTATGCATGATCGACAAATCAGATTTGAGAATCAGGTGTAACGTAGCACCTTTATTGCACCAACAAAAAGTTTTCCTTGTGCGATTTTACTACATAACCATTTAGCTTTTGACTTATACTAAACGCTAATCCTAACATTAATGAACTTTAAAGAATTTTACATGATGATCGGCAACATGTATAACAACGAACCAAACGATACATATCGATATAGAAAAATTAGTTTCTTATAAACGAAAGTCAATTTGCATAATAAAAAATCAAGATAATGTAAAGGAAAAATTACACGAGGCTTCGTAGGGCCAACACATCACGAGATTATCCGATAGTCACCTGCTACCTTTAACCAATCAAAATCGTGAAATTTGATTAATCCCGGATCAGTCCGAAAATCAAACAAATGATTAAACTCAAATTGGTATCTTCTAGATCTAGTAAGAAAACCAAACAAAATGCCTTAAATGCCTTACACAACCAGGATTAGTCTTGATTATTTCAAAATAAGATTATAGAAACTTTATTATTTATTGAATTACAAATTCGTGTAACATGCCATCAAAACAATTTTTACAAACGAAAAATTAAACCCTCTCTTATTGTTAGGGTAAAGGTGGTTTGGAATTAGGCAAGATATAGCCTATACCAAAATTTCACAAGGAATCTTTTTTGTTAGAAGTCAAAAGATGGTTTCATAATCAAAATTTTGAGATATCTATATTGCTCGTGTACATACCGTGCACAAATAGAAATTCTCGTACCGACATTTTATCAAAAAGGAAATGTGGCGGATCAAGCATTAAAAACCCAACCGAATGATTTATCACAGAATTTGATTCTTTTTTGTAATCATGAGTTTTAATAATGATTGGTATCAAAAAGCTATTACAGAATATAAATTAAATTTTATTCCTTTTAGGAACTTTGGTAAAAGAAAAAAGAGAATTGGAAGAGGGTTTTGGATATGTATATTCAACAACCTGTTCATCGATTCCGGGAACGATAGCATTGAAGGAAATATCTGTTGACGTAGAAGATGAACAAACAAATATCAAAAATTTTCTTTATGAGGTTGGAATGCTATATGTCTATTGTATGGGATCTTTGCTAGAACAATGGCCTTCCGAGGCTATGTTGATTTTATGAATAAAAATTAATTTGCCAACCATCTAGTCATCCAACTCGAATGAGTTTTTTTTATTTTATAGAACTAAATAAGCTCTACAAAATAAAATAAAATAAAATAAAATAAATAAAAAAAAAAAACATTCGAATTGGATGATTAGATTGTTGGCAAATTTAATTTTTATTCACAAAATTAACATATCCTTGGAAGGTCATTTTTCTAGCAAAGATCCCATATCATGTAGGGATGTTAACAGAGTGCTCTGGGGTGGTATGTTGTGTACTTCTTCAAAATCACACCACACCGGAGTGCGCTTTTACAGAGCAGACTCCGTAGTACTACTTTAAGTATTTAGATATAACTCGGTGCATTAAATCAGATCTACCTCGAAGTATAACTCAGAGTATAACCTGAAGTACTATTACAATTTGTGATTTGTATAGCCTACGTATAAGATAGAATATGTATTTATTCATATTAGTTTTTATACAGTAAGAGATTAATATATATACAGTATGTAATTAAATAAATAAAGTCGAATGTCTCAATTATTAAAACGTGACAAACAAGAGAAAAAACATAACACCCCAGAGTACAAGCCATTTTATATCAATGGTGTCACTCCAAAATATTTACTCTGATTAGTAACATCTTAATAATCCGGGGTGGTGGTGTTATGCCTAAACCATGTCGCATGGAGTGAGTTATACTTCAGAGTTACTTCGGAGTACCCTACTCCCTAATATAATGACATTATTAAAAGCTTACTTTGACATTTACAGTTGAAATTACATAGCAAAGCAAATCACCATCGAATAATTAAATTTTTTGGAGCAAGTCATGGTATGATTTTAAACTTATTAGAAATTTTCTCTAATAATAATGTCTAATTATCTTACATTAAGATGAAGAAAACGAATTATATTATCTTGTGTTAAAATTTGCTGAATGTACTTTGAGAAAGTATTTGTCAACGGAAAAAGATACTCTTCAGTGGACAGAAAAAGTACAACTAGCAATTCAAATAGCTGAAGGAGTACAATATATTAACAGCGAGCTTAATGTTGCACATCGTGACCTGGTAATAATTAATAATAAAGAAAACCAATTTGGTTGGAATATTTACATATATATTTTTTTATTTAATATCTATAATATTAATCAAAATTTATATATATATATATATATTCATATTCTATTTAGCATACAAAAAATATTCTCTTACATAAAAATAATATTAAAATAGCAGACTTTGGGCTATCCAGATGCCTTGACAGTACGATTACGACAAATAGCCAAATAATTGGAATTGCTCCATTTATTGAACCACAAAAATTTAAAAACAAGAATTACAAACAAGATAAGAAGTCAGATATATATAGTCTTGGCGTAATATTTTGGGAGATCTCAAGTTGCAGTCCTCCGTTTTGTAGTTTAGATCCGAATGCAGTAATTTTAGATGTATGTAAAGGTATACGAGAAAAAACAGTAGCCGGAACTCCAAATGAATATGTTCAGCTTTATTCTGATTGTTGGAAGGAAGATCCCACTTGCCGCCCTGAAATATATAATATCCTTAATTGTTTGTTAACAATAAACCACACTCTTGAAGGTGGACGTTATTATGAAAAAGGTATTGGAGTTGAAAAGGACGAACATAAGGCATTTTCTTATTATCAAAAATTTACAGAGATGGGTTCTGCAAATGAAATAAATATTGCTGGATATTGTTATGAGAATGGAATTGGAGTTGAAAAGGATGAACAAAAGGCATTTGAATATTATCAAAAATCAGCAGAGATGGGTTCTACTAATGGAACATATAGTGTTGGATATTGTTATGCGAACGGTATTGGAATTGAGAAGAACGAACGTAAAGCCTTAGAGTATTTTATAAAATCTGCAGAGGCGGGTAATTTTGATGGAAGGAATAACATTCAAAGTTGTTTAAATGAGGTACCAGAAATATTAGAACGCAAACATTCCTCATTATGCAAGTACGATTTTAAAAGTAAAATTTATAGCTTTATGAATATATGTAAATACATTTAGGCTTTCGATAAAGCATTTTAATATTTTCTTTTTGAATTAAATTATTTATTCACTTACAAAATCATTAGTTTTGGAATTGTTCTTCGGGAAATTTTAAATGAAAATACACCGATTTTTATGTGTACAAATATAACGAGAAAGTATTATTATAATTTTTAAACACAGACGGGATATTACCCTTTAATAACAACCTGGGTAGTTATTACAATAATTTAAAATTATTTAACGGCTAAGAAAAATTTTAACTTTATATTTAATAAAGGTCTTCATTTTAATCATAATTTTTATCAACATTTCGTTGTCATGTTCATTGTCAATTTTGTTATTACTGTATCACGCCGTTACTTTTCGGTTTCATTACTATTTTTTCGACGGTTTTTCAATTTTTTACGAATTTTGAATGGTCTCTATAAATTGAATAAAACTTATAAACTTTTATAAAAGAATGTTTCGTTTTTTTTTTTCTTAGTATCTATATATGTTAAAAAAAAATATCTGAATTCTTAATTGAATATCATTTTATGTAAATTTTTAATTACATACGAGCTAATAACGTATTACTATCAATTTCTTATAATCTTCAAGCAATTTATTTTCAAAATTTTATTCATGGAGATTTGCATAGTGGTATTATTTGACAAAATGCATTATATAACGCGTATGTTGCGGGCTTGGATCTTTCAATTCAACTTCAAAAGCAAAAGGGTGAAATTTATGGTATCATGCCATATATCGCACCAGAAGTTTTGCAGGGAAAACCGTTTACGAAAGCAGCAGATATTTGTAGCTTTGGAGTCGTAATGGTTGAAGTAATAATAACCGGACAAAGACATTTGATAGTGTGCCATTCAATAATGATCTCTCACTAAGGTTTTGCATCGGGCTGTTACCTTTAGATGGTGTGTCATTCGATAATGATTTCTCATTAAGGATTTGCTGCGGGTTGAGACCCGAGTTCGCTCCAGAACTCCAGAATGTTGTGTCGAATTAGTTAGACAATGTTTGAATTTTGATCCTAATGAAAGACCTGGTTGAATTTAATTAAGCTTTTTTTTGGAATTTGGATTAATGAACTAAATTTAGTTGAAGAGAACGAAATCAAAAATCAATTTCTAAAGGTTAATGAAATAATAATATTTGATCGTACTGGATCACATGTATACGAGCAAGCTCATAAATACGCGAGAGTTGCTTGAAAGTTGTTGGAAATGGTATTTGGCAGCAGAAATATTGATGACGTGGAAATTCCTTAAGACATGTAATTTGTATTTGATACGTCCGCGAAATCACCATATTATATTTAGTTCTTAATTTTTTTTTTTTAGATGTTAATTTTTTTTTTTGCAATTCGTATGTCACTCTTTTATAATTTAAAAATTAAATGTTATCTCGAGAGTGTTAATCGCTCAAAATTTCAACTTAATCTATTTTATAGGGATGGTAAAAAAGACGTCATGGTTTTTGACGCAATGATGTTTATTCGATAAATTAAAGATATGAAAGAATAAAATAGTTATACTCTTTTAAAATCGATTAGTAAAGCTGTCAATCTTTATATTATTCGATATTTTTAAATACTATTTAGATATTAATTGAAAATAAAATACATTCAAGTATAAGCATGAACTGAGCCTTTTATCAGTCGACTGCACAATAGCAATTTGTGTGCTTCACTCATATGAGTTTCGTTTGTTGCTCGAAAAATACCTTTCTCGTCTTTATTGTATCACTTAAATTAATTTTTTTTCTCCTGCTTCATAATTTTCACAATTAATATTTTTACCAATTTTCAGTAATTCATAGTTTAATATGTAATACTTTGCAGAAACCTTTGATTTTGTTAAATATATTTACAATATAATAAGAATATAATTAAAATATAATTAAAATATAA